TGCCATCTCTCCCAAGGAGGAGGAAGTCCAGAGAAAGAAGGAAAGGAGAAAGTTAGCAGCCCCATGTAGGCTCGCTTTAAGGGTACAGGCGACCATTAACGGTAACAAGAACTGTGCACATCCTCAATGCAAGGCATTTCTCCAAGCGGTTTCCAGTCTTTATTCCTTCACAAAACCCAACGAAAGGCAATAGTATTTCCTACATAGAGATGCATACAGTGAGCACGCCAAGGGCTCAGAGTTGGTAGAGGCAGGACTAGAAGCTACCAGAAACTACCTTTGATTCTATCAGTATCCAACTTTAGAAAAATGAAAAATATTCTAGTAGGAAATAGTGTTTTCTCCATTTTTAAAAAAAAAAGTACTGATTGAGCCTGAGTAACAAGTATTCCACTGTTGTCACAGACATGTGAGCCAAGCTCCACAAGCCACCCCAGCCCAGGCCTGACCTTGCAAGAGGAATCTCAACAGTCTGGGGGTTGTGGCAGCTCTTGCTAACAGGATGTGAGAAGTAAGCTCTTCAACTAATAGGGAAAAGTTATGCTTTGTGTTGTCTGGAGACCTTTATTTACAAGGTTTAAAAATTAGTACGATAGTTGGCTGATCTCACACACACACACACACACACACACACACACACACACACACACGTGTGCGCTCTGGAGTGAACCCCCTCTGATTCTCTGTGATGTGTAAGTGCAGTTCGGGGAAATGAACCAGGTGTACCCTAACTTTCTTTTCCTCTTGCCCAGGTCTCCCTTGTTTCTGAAATTAAAATTTTGCTCTTGTTTTATATTATATAAATAGTATTTTATGTATGTTGAGTTAAAATTATAAAGTTGTAAACTCCATACAAGTAAAACTGAAACAAAATAAACTGGAATATTCCATTTTTGTAAGGTGGTCCCAATCCCTACCTCACCCCACCCCAGATTGTTGTCATTCTTTCAAAACCAAAAATTCTTAGAATCCAAGTTGAAAAGAAGTCCCACAGAGGAAGTCATAGAAGTTGTAGTATAGAAGTTGTAGTAGATTCTGGCATTTAAGAACTGTGTATGTGCCAAACTATGAAAAGAGCTTTATATTCCATTAGCTCATTAAACTGTTATAACAGCCTCATGTAGAAAGCTAATTCTTTTCCATACTTCCAGATGAAAAGATAATAAACCATGAAATGCTGCAATTCAAATAAGCAACTCAGGAACTTCATTAAGTAGAGGCACTGTGCGTGGTACCAGGGTTCTAAAGCAGCAAAGACACCTTTGCCTGTAAGGGACTGCTCATTTCCCGGGAGATGTGGTTCCCCAGAGCTTCCAGGACACCACACCCAGGGGCAAGCACAGACTGGTGGAATGTCCAGGAGTGCCCCCCAGCACACCTGCTGTCAGTATTCCCGGAAGGCACAGCTGCTCGAGTTGGTTACTTGGACTTTTCTAGAGCCTTTTGGATTGTAGCTAACTTAGAGACTTCAGATAGAGTATTTCAGATAATGGCTTTATGTTTGGTTTTGAATAGAAAATTTCGATTAGGTGGCTCCTGGTAGGTGTTTTGAAGGCCCAGGCGAATCATACAGTGAACGTGATAAATATGGGAGAGTTCTTTTATGTGGAAGAGAGAAACCCAACATAAGGCAAGAAAAAGGCAAAACTTGCAAGCTGACCAGGGATTGAGGCAAACATGGGACGGGACGGGGAGAGCATCAGAGACTGTGATGATGGATCACGGTGCTGTGGTGGTGGGAGAACTGTGGGATTACATGTGAGGGAGAGATCAAATACTGTACAAAGCTTAACAATGAAAGAAATTAAACTAATAAAAAAGGGGGTAGCCAAATGCATTTGTCCCTACAAATACTGTGCTGACTTTAGTGGACTAGTGGAAGCTAAAGTTATGATTCAGGTCCGAAGCAATGTGCTAACATTAGGATTCATAAATACTAATTGTGGTGGTTAACATTTACTGAGAGCTTACTGTGGAGCAGATTCTGGGTTATGTGTTCTTCTCTCTCTCTCTCTCTATATATATATATATATAACCTCATTTAATCCCCACAACAACTCTGTGAGGTAGTTTATGGATACTGGAAATAAGCAAGCAACAGAGAGCTGTGTGGTTCTCTAGTGAGAGGCCAAGCTGTACAGTTTGCTTCCATGAACCTCTTTGCCCTGCTCTGCAGGAAATCTAGAATGTTCCCTTAGAAACATTCCTGTAAGTGGGCCCATCATGGTCTCAGGACTTGCTATTTGACACTGAACAGACATGCATGTGTGAGTGCACACATGTATACATGGGCATGCATACCTCCCACCCCACAGATTGTTAAAGATGAAAAACAAGTTTTATTTCAAGAAACTTGTTACCATTTTGATGCCAATTCGTAATAACAAATAATGACTGTATTTGCTCAGTAAGCTCTAGGCGCATCTATAGAGCACTGGGATGTGGAAGCAGCTCTTTAAGAGGAGCTGTGAGGAGTGCTACAGAAAGGCTGAGGGGGGAGGCAGTGGGGCTCATGGGGAGCATGCTGGACAAGCTGTGAGGAGGGAACAGTAACCCTGGTGGAGGAGGGGGTGGGCAGAAGTGAGAGCTTAGTGCTGACTGCAGGGGAGTTCAACGGTAAAGAAATGTGAACTCAGCTCAGACTCAAAGGCTAAGTGGATGACACATGACAAGAGGTGAAACCATCTTGTTTCCTCCAATGTGAGAGCAAGTGGAAACGGCCAGTCAGAGGTTAAGGTCAGGCAACTAGCACAGGGAAATGGTGAGGGTGAGGGGCAGAAGCCAGTGGGTTTGAGGGCTGTGGAGAGAGGTGTATGGAAATAGCACCTTATAGAGTCATGGGGAGGGTTCGTTTCTAGAGGAGCAGTCACGGGTAGTGCTGCCGAGACAGAGGCTGTTGTCTAACTGGTGTTACCACCTTTGTGGGTGAGCAGGCTCAGGGTAGCAGTCAAAAGAGCAGCTGGTCACCGTTGGATGTTTTATCAGAAAACCCACGTCTGTGTGTAAATTCCTGCCACAGCAGACCCGGAAGTGGTCACCCAGCCTTCTCTCAGGGGTCAGCACATGGCCTCCATGCAGCTTTGTTAAATCTTCTTCCCCATGACCTCCAACCAGACCCCTTTCTCTCCTCTGGAGCAGGCAGGTCCAGGCTAGTCCTGGGCACCAGAGACTGCCCACTCGGGCTTTCTCCATGAGCCTTTCTGTCCAGCTGCTTCTACCCTCGTTTCAGTAGTATGTGGGATCCCTAAAGGACTCTTCAGTTTCGAGCTGATGCCTTGTTGGTATAGTTTTTGTTTGTTTTTCTAAAGGATAATTATTTCATAGACAGTTTTGAAACTTGGTCCTCACCTTAAAATCCCAAAATAAAGGGAACTTAACATTTACAGAAATATTTTTAAAACATGAGTACAACCTAATAGCTTCGGTGGAAAGAAAACTTAGGGAGATGGAGGGCAGGGGTAACTGCTTCATATCTATTATTATTACTATAAACTTAAATAGCGTGAAATCTACAAGGCCTTAAATACACAATTTGATGTGATCTACACCCTTGTCACCCAGAAAATAGCCTCATGTTCCCTTCCAGTCAGATCCCAACCCCATAGGCAATTGCTGTTAATGATTTCTGTCCCCACAGATTCATTTCACCTGCACTGTGCAACTTTGTAATGAAATAAAACCCACATCAGAACATGGTATAAAAGAAGGAAACATTCAGTCTATGCATAACACACTGTGTGCCTCGGGCAAAATACTCAGCCTTTCTGGGCCTCATACACAGAACTCCATCAAACACGCCTCATCCTGCCTTAAAGCTCCAGCACACTCCACTTCCGTTTCTAATCTCAAAGGCCCCATTATCCACTCAATAACCTGGGCCAGAAACAAACCTGCCTCATCACACCTCACCTCACATGCACCTGACCACACAGTCCCATCAGCCATCAGTGCAGGTCATCTTTCTGGATGCATGACTTCCTCTGCCCCTACCTCCACTGTATTTCTTGCCTTTCTTGACTTGGAATGACCAACTGTTTTTCCAGACTCTCTTGTGCCAGACCCTTTGTCACCGCCCAGTGTCCATTCTTGTCGCTATCCCTAGTCTTTGCTGTAATGAACAGCCCGGCCCCTCCTCTTAAAAACCCTGAAGTGACCCTCAGCCGTTGAAGGTGTTCCTGTTACACCTCCAGAACTAAGTTCAAGTTCCAACCACTGACAGCCCCCTCCCAAAGGTGCGGAATGCTGGAGCACCTCTCTGCCAGCTCTGGCCCTTCACACCTGTCCCTCTGGTCTGTTCGGGCACTGCAGCCAGTCTCCCAGCTCCTGCTGTGAACTATTGAGAGGTCAGGGACCATGTTTGTTTTCATCTGTGTCCAGCACCTGTCACACAATTTTCCTGGAAACACTTAGCCCTGGAGCGATTAATGTTGAGATAGCAGAGGGTAATGGTATACCACTCAGGGTCTTCCAGTCAGTATGTTTTCAAAAATGAGAAGCACAAGGAATTTCTATGGCTCTTACCACCTTACCAAGTCTGATCTGGGTTTTCCTTTCCAGTACCATCGTGACAATACTGGGTTCACGGTGAAAGTTTGTGTCTTTACTTGGGAAGAAGCACATATTAAGAGGAGGCGTGAAACTAGTGAACCCTGGCTGTAAAGGGCTACTCATGTGCTGTGCCTTCCTACCTCAAACCCTGCATCAAATCTTGATGTGCTTATCCTTTTTGTTCTAGAATGGTAGGTTTCTTTTTTTGCGAATGAGGATAATTTCTTCCTAAAGTTCTTTGTGGTAATTAGCAAGCAGATAAAACACTAAAAATGACTGGCAAATATTGACCTAAGTCCCAGGAACACCAGTATTTATAGCCCTTGTTTGTTCCTCACGGTTCACTCTGTCCTGATGTGTGTGTGTTCGTGCTTCTGCGCTGCAGTATGAATCAGCACGCTGCCCAACTGGCTCACTGCTCAGCCTCTATTTTTATCCTTTCTAAAACCTAGGTAAGAACCTCGATGCCATCCACGACATCACCGTGGCCTACCCACACAACATCCCTCAGACGGAGAAGCACCTTCTCCAAGGAGACTTTCCAAAGGAGATCCACTTCCACGTGCTCCGCTACCCCATAGCCGCCCTCCCCACGGACAGGGAGGCGCTGCAGCTCTGGTGCCACAAGCGCTGGGAGGAGAAAGAGCAGCGGCTGCGTGCCTTCTACCGGGGGGAGAAGAGTTTCCACTTTGCTGGACACAGTGCCGTTCCACCCTGCAAGTCTGAGCCCAGGGTCCTGGTGGTCAAACTGCTGTCTATCCTATACTGGACCCTGTTCAGCCCTGCGATGTGCCTACTCGTGTATTTCTACACTTTTGCCCGGTGGTACTTTGTGATTGTGATTGCCGTCTTCACACTACAAGAGAGAATATTCGGCGGACTGGAGATCATTGAACTTGCATGTCACCGTTTTTTTCACAAACAGCCACATATAAACGAGAAGAAAAATGAGTAGATTTTAAGGTTCACCATGTAAAGACCGAGGGGATATTTTGGAAATGGTCTAAGCTTTTGTAAATGGAGATGGATTTGTGCATGACTGTCAGATATTTCTACCATCATTTGTTATAGATATTTTGCACTTAGTTTTGTGGGAAAATATTGCTACACAGGCAATTTTCTTTTTTTCTTTTAGATCTCTGAATGTAATTTCAATACCGCACACAGGGAGCAATCTCTGAGAAATATTATTAAACAATCAGGCAAGGTATACACAGATTTTCTGCAGGCCGGATCCGGTTTCCTGTCAGACTCCCCAGGCAGACCTGGGGTTTGCTCACCGCTGGGCCAAGTACTGGGGTTAGGAGCCCTTCCTCCTGGCCTCGACCGCTCATCAGCCACTCCTTTCTACACCACTCACCCCATCACATCCTTCCTCCAGACCAGAAAACGCAACTTCCTTGTCCTTAAAGTGACCAACCATGCTGACAGAAAGCCCTGCCTGACTCGCCAGGTCTCGGCATTCAGCCCCGCGAGCGGCCCAGAGGCCGGAAACCATCGGCGCCCTTTTTTCGCGTGGAAAATCAGACCCGGACGCGTCTCAGGGAGCAACCACAGGCTCTCCATTTCAACCCTCTGCTCGAACTTTTTAAGATAGGAATGAAAACCATTTACTTACACTCTCTCTTGCATGCCGAATACTGGTTCGGGCAACGCCCTGACAGGTGGAGCTTTTTCTGCCTTAAAAATGGCGTAAACCAAGTCACTTACCGGCTTAAAGGGACGCGTAGGAGAACATTCTGTTACTGGGGTCAGAAACGCTTTGGAAGATGTGTCCTCAAAACCTGCCGAAAAGGAAGGTTACTGTGTTTTGTCCGTGTGCGTGGGCATCTAACTTGGCGCCATCGCAAGTTTGCAGACAAGGGTTCACCCCGAATTACTCAACCCCCAAAGCCATGCCTGGTTTTACTCTGAACCTAAAACAATCACACAAAAATAAATCCATTAATGATAGCGAAGATTCTCTCTTTTAGACTCAGGCTTCCTCTTTTCAGCAGTAAAGTTTAAACCTGATTATGACAAATTGTGCTCCAATATATTTGTCATTTGGAGTCTGTGGAAAATCCAGCAAACCTACAGCAACAATCCCCTCCCTCTGCAGGCGAAAGAACCCGTGTGGTCGTTTCTACCCTCGTTCTGGACACTGCTGTGGGGTGCCAGGCAGCGCAACAGAAAGTGGGAGGCAATTCAAGTCTCTAGCTGTTCGCAAACCTTTCAACCTCCCTCCGGCCTCGAACCACTCTCAAAGCTGTTTTCCCAGTGTAAGCTCTCAGCAGGAATACCGAGCCTGTCCTGTTTTGCCTGACAGTGACTTACCGACGCGCGGAGCCATGCAAGGTGGGAGCTGGAAGCCTGGCGAGCAGCGGCCCCTCTTCCAGAAAGGTCGCAGTCGGGCACTGTCGTGGAAGCATCAGCACACGAGGGAGCTTCTGCTTCCACCACCCGCACCACCCTGCATTTAACTGCTCCCCCAAGGCTGACTTTAATCTTGCCTGGAGCTACTAATTAGTTAATGAGCATCGGCTCCAAACTCAGCTGTTTAACTTTACGGTTTTTAAGGTTATTGGGAGATATTTTTTAACCTGTTTTCTTAATAAAATAAGTTTTTGATTTAGGTTTCTCGCAGACTTCTTTGATTCTATTTGGAAACAAAATAGGTAACGATCAAGTGTACCGGGAACAAGACAAGGGAACGAGACAAGCGAGGTTCTACACAGGTGACGGTCCTGCCCCTCAGCATCCGTCTCCGCTGCCTGGACTCAGCTTACGGGGTAGCTTCCACTTGCGGCGGCTCCTCTTGCCTCGCTGAAGCCTTTTACCAGGAGAGCTCTTTAAAAAAAAAGAAGAAAAGTTTTGATTCTAAAAAATAAGATAAAGTGCAAACTTTGATTACCCAAAATTCATTAGCATTAAAACCCGGGGAAGATAAACCTTGCATTTGTTTATAAGAACTAGAAATGACTTCCAAAAGGAAAAAAAAAATCCTTTTTGGGGATTCTGTTTCTATTTTTGCAAGAAGGCTTCTTTTAAGATTGTAATTATTGGTGTTTGCCTACACATTTGTCTCTGTTAAAGCCTTTTTCTTCACTTATAAGAGTTTTTTTTTTTTTAAAGAACTACACAATTTGGACCTTAGAGCTCTTTAGCATTGGCGCCAAAATGCCAAGTACAAATTAGCGCAGCGTCCACCCCAGGACCATCCCGCTTCCTCCAGACCCTCTTCCTGCCCGGCGACCCGCAGTCCTCGGGCAGCCCGTGGATGACTCGCTGTTCCTCCAGGTGTTGAGTCTTTCCCATTCAGAACGGTTTTAAATGAAGCAAGTGTGGTTTCTACAGGACTTGAAACTACTTAAAATACACACCTGCAAGCAAGGAGGCTGAAGAGGCTCCAAGTTCTGCTGCCAGATAGCAGAGATGAAACAAGCCAGGTTATTGTAAACCTCGGCTAAAGAACATGGCAAAAGACTAAAAGAAAAGATTAGAGCCCCAAGCGCTAGTGAAAGCGTGCCTTGTCGTGTGCCGGCAGCACAGGTGAGGGGAATACCTGAAGGGGCCCTCCTGCAGAGCACACAGGGCTGGACTCTGAGAGGGGGTGCCCCTTTCGCCGCGACTTTCTGCTCTGGCACCACCATCACACTCTCCCGCACGTGTCAGTGAAGATGCCAGTAGAGGAAGCCTGTTGGCGTTAAATTGTTTACAGTTCTTTATATAAATAACGTGCTTCCAGTGCCTTAGTTATGGGTCCCTTTCTTTTTCTTGTTCCAAGATTTCTCCGGTGTATTTCCTAGGTCAAAGTCTTTCCGCTCTTCGTTGGGAGGACGTGGTCTGTAAACACTGGCCACTGGTACACGCTGCTTTGTGAAGCCGCCTGGAGTGTGAAGCTGGGGTCACAGGTGCCTTAGCTGTTTTTTGTGCTCTAGAAAAAGATGGTCTGTCCCATGATGAGCTTCAGATTAGATATGGCCCTACAGTTGTCTTGCCTATTTATTTCAAAACAGAACCTTAGTTTTGGTAATTTATTTTTCAAAAGACCATTATGTGTAAAACATCCAGTTTTAAAAATAACTCACAGAATGGCCTTAGTTCCAATGTCCACTGGTAAGATTGTGAATTGTGTTATCTGTAATAGATATCCCAGAATAAAGTGCAGTGAATTAAGTGGAAGTCACACCGGTGTTGCATGCTTGCATCATGCGGGAACAAGGAAAACACAGGTGATGGGCACTACCCCCGGACTCCCAACACACTAGGTCCTAACCACACTGGGTATTCAGGAAGAGCTGCTCAGGACTTGGTTTCTTGAGTACAAAAGAAAAGACCCAAACCAAAAGGGGTGTACTGCCTCCGTGGTGTCAGGGCCCACCTGAACTCCGAGTATGTTCAGAGCTGAATTTCTCCACCTCTGGGTTTACCCAGAGGGCAGGCGGGTGGCTCCACAGCCTGGCTTAGGCCCAGTACCAGGCCCCTGCTGAGTGGCCCCAGCAGGGAGTAAATGACTCAGGAACCAGAGCCTGACATGTATAGAATGAAGCTAGAAACACGCACACACAGATGCACAGCACTGACCTCTGGGCTGGCGGGATGTGGCAGGATGGTCCCACCAGAAGGTGCCTGAGGCTTGTGTCAGGCTTCTGGGCCTCACTTTGGTCAGCCCTCTTTGGCTGGCCATTGACCCACAGGATGGGTAACCTTGGGTATTTCATGGGGAAACTTAACGACACCCCTTCTCTTCTCTCTGTGGCACACTGATTGTATTAAAGCTCTTGTTTTTATTGAAGGCCTTATGCACGAAGGGCATGTTTTGTCTTTATGCAGCAAATGGCAGAATCCATTTAGAGCAGACAGGTTTGGGGGTCCCAGGGTGCCCCTCAGTCTGCCCGCTAACAACATGCCCAACCAGATTAGTGCCTAGAGTCTAAGAAAATCCTGTTTTGCTCTAAAGCTTTTCCTAATTGCTCCAGCTTCAAATGCCCTCTGGTGGAGCTCATCTCTGCAACTCGCTTGACTCTATCACATACTCTCTCGTGTTACAGTGATTTTTTTTCAGTGTTATCACCTTAGCTGTATTATAAGTTTCTGGAAAGTCAAGATAAGAATGTCTCACATTTCTCTTATTCCCAGCAGTGTTCAGGCCAGCAGCTTACCCATTCTTTCTGCACCATAAATTCTTAAAGGTGATTCCCTGGAAGTCATTCAGAAAGGATCCTCTTCTAGTCTAAAGCTGGGTGCAGAAATTTGCAAATTACGATAATTTTTTTTTAAGATGTAAACATATCCATCTCTGGAAAATAATGAGACACTTTTGACAAGAATGAAATCATTTGTGACTGATGTTATGATTTACCCAAATATTTTAGCATCTGAACTCTTAAAAGTAGCAACTTAGCTTTAATTGTGCATCCTTCCTGGGGTAGCCTTGTTCCAGGAATCTCACCATCCCCCAGCTACACACATAGGGGGGGACAGTTTGCCCACATTATTGTAATTGTTAGACATTTGAAGTCCTGACACATTCTTGTTACAAGTAGCAGTCATGTATGGATACTAAAGTCAATGAGTGAAAATCTAGTGATTCCCCATAAGATAGTAATTACAAAGGGAAGAAGAGCAACTTTCCACAGGGGAAGTCTAGCAAACACCTCTTTACTGAGCGATCTGTGTTGCCAAGACCAGAGCTAAGACAAATCTACATCACATGCCCTTGAGAAGGGCACAACATCATTTTAGCCAAAAAAATGCATGACTTTAATCTCATTATGAGAAAATTTGAGTGAATCCCAAATCGAGAGAGAGAGATTTACAAATTAATTGGCACATTCTTTAAAAGTGTCAAGGTCATAAAACCTGCAAGGCCATTTGCAAATGGTTGCAGGTTGAGGAATGGGGGAAGACTCAGGAGATGTGACAATGACAGCAAAGTGGAAAGCTGGATTGGATCCTGGCAAAATCTGAACATGCTCTAATTGGAGGTAAGATTTCTGTGTCATTATTAGCTGGTGACTGTGTTCCGATGACGCAGTATGGAAAGATCTGAGGGAGTGGATGAACAGCACCCCTGCCTCGGGAGGCTTGCCCCGTGCTCCTGCTGAGGAAGGCTCTCTCCCCAGACATGCAATCTGTTCATTCATTGCATTGCTGCCTTCCCTAAAGAATGGGAGGCCTTAAATGCCGTCAGTTTTTCCACTGTAGGAGAATGTCATTCAACCTAAACACGTGCGCCCCATTCATTTTTCAGGAAATAACCCCACAAGCTTTCCATGGAGGCTGGGAGGAAAAATATCAAGAGTGGGGGACGCTGGGTCAGTGCGTCATCTTTCTTGATCGGATGAAAAGAAGGTCAAAGGGTAGGAGCCTTGCAGATGTCCAAGGGGGAAGGGATAAGGCAGAACAAAGCAACTTCTGTCCACCACTCTTTGGGCACAGGCCCGCTAGAATCAGGCCTGGTCTCCGACTCAGGTTAATGACTCCCTGCCCCCATCACCAGCAGGGCAATGCGCCCAGACACCTTCCTCTCAGAGGGCAGGGCAAGGCGTGCAGGCCGACTTCACACCCCAAGAGTCCTGTGTCAGGTACGAAGAGGTCAGGCCCCACCAAAGACCTGTAGAGAAAGCTGCCGAAAACCCAAGCCCCTAGTCACCCATTTTGATTCGAGTTTCTTAGCATTCTGTGATGCAAGGAAGCTGGGCAGTGGGCCTTACCTTCATTTCTCAGATGTGGCATCTAAGACTGGCTTTATTATTAAGGTCACAGAGTTAGGGGCGACCCCAAGTCAGTGTTCTCAAGGGAGCACTAAGTCTCCACGCTGTTGCCTTTCTTCTTAAGAACATTTCTGCACCATAGAAGTGCCTTCTGGCACTATGTTCCTTCTTACACATGTCTTCTTCTTCCTCAGTCTTCTTTATTCACAAAAAGTCAGAACTGTTGGAAAAATCAGCACCCAGAGAGAATGTGTGATTTGTGCAAAGACAGCGGGGAGCTTATCGCACCCCTGTGTTTAGCAGCCTGCCCCTTGGAGATGATGTCACCCACCTCTTGCTAGGATATTACCTGCCCCCACCCCAGACATCCTGCAGACAATGGTGGGGGTAGGCTGAGGGAGACTTCTGAGGGCCACTGGGGATGCTGAGAGCACAGACTCAGAGCTTCCCATGGGTACCTTCTCAACAACAGAGGGCGGGTCTTGCGAATGAGAAACAGCAGGAAGAGAGCTGCGACAAGACAAACATGGGGGGGATAAAAGACTACATTCCAGGATGGAAGTAAGATTCTGGAACCCACTATGCCATAGGGTCACCTGGCCTCTAGCTTCAGATGTTCCAGGAGGCTAATGTGGGTTCTCTGTAAGAAGAAATGAGGAGCGACTCCTTTCAGGTGAGCACCAGGTAGTTTGGCCATCAGCCCTTGCATCATTGCAGAGACAGGTCCAGCCCAGAGTGGCCGGTCTTTTCACTGACAGTCCTGGTTCTACTGAACTGCATGCAGCCTTCAGGCAGCAAGGGCCTCTGCCCAGTGTGTGGCTGGCGGGAAGCCTGCAGGGAGCGATGCTCAGAGGCAGCATGTTGCCCTCCCAGAGCCTCGGTCACACACACCACACGTGGGGAACAGACCCCAGGGTCACTCGCGGCTCTGAGGGTATGGAGGGTCAGACTGAAAAGTACTTGGTCTCCCTAGAGGTGAATGTGGCATGGGGTTAATCACTCCAGACAAGGGGGGGAGGGGGGTGCAGGAATTTGCAGTTGCTCACAGAAATAATGCACCATGATCTAGCCTGGTCTTAGCTGGAAATAAGAAATCTGTGTAGCACACAGGCCTCATCTGACCCCACAGCTGTGGTGCTGGGTGAGTGAGTTCAGGACGCATGAGGCCCCTCTTTGGTAGAACTTTTATTAGCAGAGCTAGGAGGCTTATTAAGTGAAAGAACACGATGCTGTTTGAATCATGACGCTGTTCCTCATTAGCCGTGTGGCCGCGGGTCAAAGAGGAGCCTACTCTGCCAGCCTGCTCAGCAGCTCTGGCATGAGGTGCAAGGCAGTGGAGGGAGAGCTGGATTTGCATAGAGCTCCTGAGCCTCATGGGAACTCTTGGGAAGGAGCTTTTGAAGCAATAATTAAACCTCTAACAAAACCACAATGAGATGCCACCTCACCCCAGTGAGAATGGCACATCTTAAAACAACTAGCAACAACAGATGTTGGCGAGGATGTGGAGAAAAGGAACTCTTCTGCACTGCTGGTGGGAATGCAAACTGGTGCAACCACTATGGAAAGCTGTTTGGAGGTTCCTCAAACTGCTAAACATGGAGCTTCCCTATGACCCAACAATGCCACTCCTTGGTATCTACCCAAAGGACACAAAAACACTGATTCAAAAGGACACCTGCACCCCCATGTTTATTGTTGCTCTATTTGCAATAGGGAAGACATGGAAATAACCCAAGTGCCTAAAAGTGGATGACTGGATCAAGAAGATGTGATACATATACACAGTGGAATATTACTCAGCAATCAAAAAGATTAACTCGTGCCTTTGCAGCAACATGGGTGGATCTGGAAGGAATCATGCCTAGTGAAATAAGTCAGAAAGAAAAGGAAAAAATATCATATGGTTTCACTCATAGCAGGAGCATAAGGGATCAAGGAAGAGAAAAAAGAGAGAAAGAGAGACTAACAAATGTAATAGAGTAAAAATGAAAACAATGAACAACTATATAAACCAGAGACTTTTTTATGGGGGCTGGAGGGGGAATGGAATCGGAACTGGGGGGGAGGGAAGTGCAGTGGACTGTGGTGATGGCACAAGGGTGAACTGGTGATGGGAGGCCCTTGGGGATCACAACTGAGATGGAAAAATGCACAAAGTGACGAATGATGTAAAAAAATTAAAAAGCAAAAACAAATAATAAAAAAACAAATCCCTTCCCTACCGCCAACAAAAGCAGCCCTTCGCCTTCTGGAAAAGGAGTGTCAGGGAAGGCTAGGAAGCCTCCCAGGGATGCCGTGGGGATGGGGCAGGGAAGAGGCTGCACCTCACCTGGTTCAAGGCTGAGGAGAAGCTGCACATGTACCTGTTGTACAGAAAGAGCCTTCGCCACTAGTAGAGATATTAAGGTAACACAGGCAGACTCCCAGTTCCCATGCCAAAGTGGGGTGACTTTGCGTGAGGTCAC